AATTTTAGGTACATTTCTGCTCTGTTCAGCTTTTTTGACACATTTTTCTGCTGATTTTTCACTTTGGTTTCTTACGTTAAGCAAAAGTCAGCTGTTAAAATGCATCTCACATCAGCTCGACTTCGGCAGCTTTCAGCAAAAATCTTTTAACGTTAAGCATTCACCTTGCTTTTTGCACATCCTTTACTTTTTTTCTGTGTTTCCCAGGTGTCCAGTGATGCGGTGAACCGCACCTTCACGGCTCTTATTCTCTGTGAGAAAGGTAACGAGGAGGGCGAAGGAAAGGACAACGCAGCGTTCGTGCACCTCTACAACACGGCTCTGTTCGTCCCTGAAGGCAGGTCGACGGTTTTCAGGGGCTGTTGGTCGTTTGTTACACCTGCGCTGATTTAATTTGTTTCCCTCAGGTTCCTGCAGCCACACGGTGCAGAAACTAAAGCTTCAAGACATCTCAGCCATCACAGTGAAAACACTGAAAGTGATTCCTGACAGGATCATCGATAACTACAACAAGAGGCAGCAKCCGCGATTCAGGTCTCAGCAGCTCRTTRGCTGAAACCACTGAAAACAACAAACGACAAACTGTTTATTATTATTTTTCCTTCTAGGCACGATCCTCCCGGCCAGGCCATTTCCACGGCGACGCAGGAGCTTTTACGATTGGCTGAGGYGAACCCCGGCGGCATGGCGACCCTGGACCCGGTGAACGACCTCCAGCTGAAGAGCGTGGACGTGGTGGAGGGGTGCATGAGGCTCCGAGCGCTGCAGGACAGCCTGAGGGCTTTCAGCTGCATCCACTCCCCCACGTTCGCAGAGCAGGTTTGTGTGTGTGTGTGTGTGTGTGTGTGTGTTAGGGTTGGGCATAATCGTATCGTGTGCAATTAATCGTCAGAAAAACAATAATCGATTAATACGATTAATGCCACCAGGCAGACTGAGTGGAGATTTCCCCGGTCAGTCCGCTCGATGCTCCTCTTCGCTTCAAATATGACGAACATTAAAAAAAAGTTCTGTAATTTATTTATTTATCAACACAATTTAAAATTTCATGTTTAGCCTGAAGTCTGTAATTTTGACATAATTTGGAACAGATTTTTATGAAGAGCAAATCTTTCCCACTGAATTGGTCATGTGACCAGGACATAAGGGACTCCAGGGGAAATTGCATTTCCTGCGAAAATGCAAGTGTGAATGCCTGTTGCTGAGAACGTAAGCTGAAAGCTGCAGAAGAAGCTGAAATTGAGCTGAATTAGCGAAAGAATTATTATAAGTTAAATTTGAAAAGCTGAAAAAWGCAGAAAAATGCAGAAAAACAGAAAAAAGGACCAAAATATAGCTGAATTACCATAAAAAGCTAAAGGCTGAAATAGCTGAATATTGCAGAAAGCAACTGTAAAAAGCATAAATAACTCAAATTAGCAGAAAGAAGCACAAAAAAGTAAAAAAGGCAGAAAAAGCATAAAAATAACAAAAAGAAGCAGAGCTATAGCTGAATTAGCATAAAAAAGCTAAAGGCTAAAATATCTGAATATTGCAGAAAGCAGCTGTAAAAAGCATAAAGAACTATAACTAGCAGAAAGAAGCACGAAAAAGTAAAAAATAAAAACAAAGTGCCTTAACGGCATTCACACAATTAATCGTTATCGACTAAATACCACAATTAATCGTGATGAATTTTTTTTGCCAATATTGCCCARCCCCTAGTGTGTGTGTGTGATTATTAATAAGACAGTTCTGAGTGTGTTTGTTAATAAACTCATCAAACTGAACTCCTTTTGTTCTCCAGTTGAATATTACAGCAGCTCATTAACATCAAAGCCTTTCAGACGACACTCATCTCACATCCTGACTCTTTTWTTTCCTCTTATCGTTTCTCCTCCTCTTTCATCAAAATGACATCAAACTGCGTCGTGACATTTCTGCTTTTGTGCTCTTTGAGACGTGTCTCCAGCATCTGAGCCGTCTGTTTCCACAACAAACTGTAAAAGATAAAAATTTATTTCAGTAAATCTCATCATTTAGTAAATCTCATCATTTTTCCTGCAGCCGGTGCTCATTCTGACACTGACTGGTCTGTGTTAAAAACATTTTTTTTTGCTCTTATGTGTTATTTTATTGGTTTTGAGGAACTGTGTTTGTGTGTGTTTCAGTTTGCTCGTATTAAAGAGAGGATGAGCGTTCAGGAGGAGTTGGACCGGCTGCTGTTTCTGATGTCAGATCAGTCTCTGACTCTCCTGCCTGAGTATCACCAGAGGATCAAGGTCTGGACCCGAGATCTTCTGTTTTAGAGACGTCATTGCAACGAAAAGACTCGCAGAAATATTCACAGCTCTTTTTTTTTATTATTCATTTAATTTAAAAATAAAACTAAAACTTTTATACACAAAAAA